TAAGGAAGCTGAGATCTGAAGATCAAGGTCTGAAGCCAGTTACATAAAGCAGGAAAGTCTGTGAGACTCTTACCTCCACCTCTTACCTTAACCACCTAAAAGCCAGAACAAGAGCCGTGGTTCAAATGGTAGAGCACCAGCCTTGAGCAAAAAAGCTCAGGGACGGCACCCAAGCTGAGCTCAAGCCCCAGGACTGGCATATACGCACACATAATAGTAACAAAAATAATTACCCTATTTAGAATGTCTTACAGAGAGCATATACTTCTAATTGAAAACATTTTGGGGGGGAAATTGCTAAGTCTATTATACCAAGATTTATTATGTGTCAAACTATATTTTAAATTACACCAGAAATAGAAATGATATTTTCTTAGTTAATGTAGTATACTGTATCAGTAATCTATTGAAGTATAACAAACTATTAAAGTTGAGTGTCTTAAGATACTTTAGTCATTTATTTTTCTCAGAGATTTGTAATTTGGGCAGGACTTAGGCTTGTCTGTTTCATGAAGCCATTTTTTCTTTTTTCTTTTGGTCCGGTCGTGGGGCCTGAACTCTGGGCCTGAGTGCTGTCCCTCAGCTCTTCAGCTCAAGGCTAGTGCTTTACCACCTGAGCCACAGCGCCACTTCCGGCTTTTTTCTTATGTGGTGCTGAGGAATCAAACTCAGGGCCTCGGGTATGCAAGGCAAGTACTCTACCACTGAGCCAACTTCCCAGCCCTGAAGCCATTTTTTCTGATGGTTTGATTGACAGCTAGAACCTACTTCCGGCTTTCTTAAATAGCTTGGAAGTTGGTTGCTGGAGGGATTCAGTTCTGCTTCACAGAGTTTTCTTACTGGCTATATAGGCTGTCTTCTAGTACAGTAAGTTTCCAAGAAAGCAAAGAAAAGTTGGTGACATTTCAGAAGTTGTACTTCACTATTGCTGACCTTGCTGGTAAGAGACAACCACCAAGGCCCTAATTCAACAATGCAGTTTTATCAGTGGGACAATGTTGAGAAAATTTGATCTACCATATATGTATATATATAACTTGTGTGTATATATATATATAAGCAGTATATATATTGTTAATATTTCTAAGAAAGTCTTTGGGAAAAAATGTTTTGAAATTAGAAGACAGAAACTAAAAGTCAATTACATTTTATCTGTGCCAAAGACTGAATTTTTCTCTGTATAATTTTCAGTGATTCAGTTTAACTATGTCTGTAATCAGAATATATAGTTAACCCAGTTGTACACATAAAAGGGGAACTGACTTGAGGGAGGGAAGGCCCAGTCTGAGGCTGAAGGTTATGAAATTCTTTGGTGAATGACAAGACAGGCACATAATATTTCTTGCTTCCTGGCAGCTGATCTGCTTGTATTATTGTATATGGTCTATAATGATGTTGTTTTATATGGCCTACAATGATGTTATAAATGTCCAAATGGTCCTTGGCAGATAAAAGGTACCGATTCCTTAAAGATATTAAAATGTAGTTGGTGTTACGGATATGTAAGAGGGTAAGCACTTCCCTGAGAGGTCCAAAGACCACTCCTAGATTAGAGATTGACTAGGAGGACTCACAGGACACGGCACATAGTCATATTTGCAGCTGAAGTTTATTATAGTGAAGTCAGCAAAGGGAAAAGGCAAATAGGAAAAAGTCCAATGGAAACAGGCACAGGTTTCTAAGAGTCTTCTCTCAATGGACGCATACAGGATACATTTAATTCTTCCAACAACAAACTGACCACATGTGTGAAATGTTGTCTGCTTGGGAAGTTCATTAGTGATGTGCCCATTAGTGTTCACTTAATGATTTTCATTAGTGATGTTCACTAATGATGTTTTTATAGTATTAGAGTAATATTTATTTTAATAATAAACTAATACAGTGTCTACAACCACAAGTCAAGGTAGGCAGAATTGTCCCAAATTTCAGGGTCTTCCCATATCAGATTTTACTAATCACCTAGCTACAACTTGTCACATAGCAGCTCTCCCTAACAGAAGGATAAGAAAATGTAGCATGATCCACAACAGCTTTTAAAGGTTTCACCAGGAGGTGTCAAGTCAGTTTCCATTTCACTGGTCAAAGTAAGTCACTTGGTTGCACAATGGGTTGGGTAACTGAAATTGTCGAGCCTACTGCTATTTCATTGGTCACATGGCTGCACAGTGGCTGGAGAAGTAGAAGTACTATCCAGTCTACTGCCCTTCATGTGCCCTTCCATGTTTTTCCTAGAAGATTGTCACATAGGCACTTAACACTTCTTAGACTTTTAAGTATAAACCTATATGGTTTGTATAAACAGGTTAGACACAGTGAGCCTTTCTTTTTTTTTTTTTTTTTTTTGGGTCCAGTCGTGGGGCCTGAACTCTGGGCCTGGACACTGTCCCTCAGCTTTTCAGCTCAAGGCTAGCACTCTACCATTAGAGCCACAACACCACTTCCGGCTTTTTTCTTTTTGCTTATGTGGTGCTGAGGAATCAAACCCAGGGCCTCAGGCATGCAAGGCAAGCGCTCTACCACTGAGCCACCTTCCCAGCCCACAGTGAGCCTTTCTTACCTATTATGGTGATTTGAACCATCCTGAAATCCAAGTTTCCAGATGCCAGCCAGTGAACAAACAACTTTACAGGCAGGCTTCTCTCAAAAGCTAGCTCAGACCTTCCATGTTCTTTTGCTTCATGTTCACTTAAAAAAAAAAAGCTCATCCCAAATTTTAAAATGGCTCTTGGTTATCTGTTTGATATATAGATTTCTAAAAAAATATGCATAATATTTTGTATATTAATATAAAAATAAATAAGATGTAACTTGACTGTGATGTTTAAAACCAAGACCAAAGATTGGTATTTATTGAAACATTGAAGTTTTCAGGTAGGATGGAGTTAAAACTTTATAACCATTTTATGTAAGTATATTTCTATGTAATACTAAAAGATCTTTTCCCCATACTTATGTTTCCTGCTTTTTGAAAAATTGTTCTTTTATCAAAAACAGTTACTTTTATCCTCCTAACCCACAAATGAACATGTAATATACTTACTTTATGACATAAAATGAAATTTTTAGATTTGTTGATAGGCAGCATGTCTTTAGCAGAAGTTGAGCTGGCTTTATGGCAAACATGAATCAAGTATCTGTAGTAGATAAAAAGGATGAAGTAAGATCTAGTTTTAGATGAGCAATATTAATGCATACAGTAGTAATTTGTGACAGTAATGTAGGTTATTCAGTGTTCTAATTTATGGATGCTTGGACTACTATATATACAGTATAGGCAGATTTGAGTGATTTTAGAGTTCTGAATTCTCATCTGTGGCATTAATTGTTTTTCTTCAGTGAGAGTCTCCTTGGAGCCTAGATATTAAATACACTAATCATGCTATAATCTTAGCCTTATTTTAAAAGATGTTTTCTTCTTTCTGAGCCTTCTCTTGAGTTATTCCCTATATAGTGTCCCTATGGAGTGTTCACAAAGACATACTCTTTAACATCCCTGAGGATGAGACAGTCCCAAAGAATATTTCATTTATCACATATTTGCTCATATTGGTTGCAGACCCTGTTAAAAAGGGAAAGGGAAGGAGGGTGATCAAAGTCCAGAATACAGAAAATGCACTCTTCAGTTCCTTCCATGTACATTTATAAGAATGAATGTGTGAGACTAATCAGCCTTGAGTAGAAAAGCCACGCTAGAGATTGAGGCACAAAGTTCAAGCTTCACCACCAGCACCAAAAAAAAAAAAATTATGTGTGTTGGCACCTTCCTCCCGAGTCTTCCTTTGCATTCTTTGCATTCTTGGGGAGGCAGGACAAAATAACATACTAATTCAGAACATGAATTCTGGAACTAGACTGCCTCTACTACTGGAATAGTAGCTTGTTTGGTCTCAGTTTTCTCACTGCCTATACTACTGGAATAGTAGCTTGTTTGGTCTCAGTTTTCTCATCTATTCAATAAGAATAATAATGATATCTATGTCATGAGGAAATATCTACTGCCGTAGTAGACATTCACTGTTTATCATCATTTTATGGATATAGCAATTCTATTTACAGAATAAAAATCAGAATATCTCTTTATATAATTCTGAAATCAAGTAGTTAGTCATTGTGTGGAATTGTGTCCATCCTGGGATTTTTAGGACATATTGCGTGTGTGCCTGCGTGCGTGCGTGCGTGCGTGCGTGCGTGTGTGTGTGTGTGTACCAATCCTGGGGCTTGATCCTGAGCTTTTGTGCTCAAGGCTAGCACTACCACTTGAGCCACAGCTCAAGACTTTCCTGCCCAGGATGGCTTCAAATTCAGACTGAGGTCTCCTGAGTAGATAGGATTACAGGTATGATTCAGGAGAGCCCTGTTACTTTTCACATTTTTATTTTAGTGTTTGTTTTTGTTTCAGTTTGAATTCAGGGCCTTGTGCTTGCTAGGCAAGCATTCTACTCCTGAGCCACATCTCCAGCATAGCCATATCTTTAAAGTACAGTAAGAGTTTAGGAATTGTGAGGAGTAGGAATAAAGTTAAATGTGGAAATATTGGTGGCACACATTTGGGATCTTTCTCAGGAGCCTGAGGCAAGGAAATTTTAAGTTCTAGTCATCTTGTGCTGCAATGTGAATTCCAGGTTGTCTTGGGGTTACTAATTAGACCCTGTCTCAAAAACAAAGGCAGAGGAGCAGAAGACAAATATTGAAGCCCTTTATACTAAACTAGTATATCTGCTTTTAATTCTTAGTACTAATGTGATTATGGTTTAATAGAATATTTCCTCACTGAACCTGAATAGAAGAATAACATTAGTATTGACTGTTGTATAGCCAGTGATAGAATTATGTTTGGCTAGGGAGTGAGCAAATGGGATGAAAATCCCAGTGGAAGCAGAGAAAAATGGTGTTTTGACATTATTATTTAGTGAAACAAACTGTCCCAATAGGAGAAATACACAAGGTGTTACTTAAATGTAAGAATGAAGTTAATATTTTTAACATTTTTCCTTAAGGACCAGAGTAATGCGGAGCAACACGCAGATGGACTTATAGTAAGTTTAATCTAATCTTTTTCTTTTCCTTTACTTCTGCAGAGCATAATAACCAGTCATGTCAGGAGAGGCCTGAATTTCTACTCATTTTTCAACGCAGATTTTCTCTTTTTACTTTCTCACTGCTTTTGTTGTTAACTCTTGCAATTTTTCTTGAATTCCTAAAGTTTCTTTCAACAATCATTTGGAGGGGAAATGTTAATATTAAATTTTTTCTAAGTATTGGTTCTGATTGGGTCATTTTGCATGTGTTAACTCAAAAGGTTAATCGTGATATGAAAACTTGGCTTTTACAACTAAATAAGGCATAACTCACCATGCTACATTTCTTGTCAAATTTCTCTTTTTCTTAGATGAAAGCGGAGAGGGGAGGGTACAATAGTCAAAACAATCTATATAAATGTGTTTGTACATTCATATCTTTTTTATTTTTGGATTTTAGGTTTTGTATTAACTCTTAACTACTGTATTTATATTGTATTCTTGTTGGAACATGTTACAACATGAATTTTTCACTTCAAGCCTTTTTCTGGTTGTTATTTAGCTTTCTACTCTTCCTTTCTATTTAACTTTACCTTTAAAAATAAAGAAGAAGGGCTGGGAAGGTGGCTCAGTGGTAGAGCGCTTGCCTTGCATACATGAGGCCCTGGGTTCAATTCCTCAGCACCACATAAGCAAAAAGAAAAAACCAGAAGTGGCGCTGTGGCTCAAGTGGTAAGAGCTCTAGCCTTGAGCTGAAGAGCTGAGGGACAGCACCCAGGCCCAGAGTTCAAGACCAAAAAGAAGAAGAAGACAAAGAAAATTGTATGACTAGTATTTTCCAGTGGGACGTAAAAGAATTTGAAGATTTATAGGTTGAGCTTCTCTAATTGACGTTAATTGAGTGACTTCTGGTAGCAATTTATTTTATTGCCAGTCCTGGAGCTTGAACTCAGGGCCTGGGCACTGCCCCTGAGCTTCTTTTGCTTAAGGGGAGCACTCTACCACTTCAGCCACAGAGCCACTGGCCTTTTTTGTTTATGTGGTACTGAGAAATCAAACCCTTCATGCATGCTACACAAGCACACTATCACTAAGCCACATTCCCAGACCTGGTGACAATATTTTTGAAGTAGGAAGCAGTCTGTTGTTTTATTTGACACTTTACAAGTGCTGCCTTATGTGAGATCTAGAAACAACATTTTATAAATCCTTACCTTTAAATCTATCTCATGATTATGCTTAGAAAGGACGAGCATGTTCTCTTTTCATTTGGTTTCAAATGGAAAGCCAGTTTTCATATTTTTAAGAAAGAAGCCTAGGATAATGGCCCTATTAAAAGTAGATCACCTGCCTAGAAAGCATGAGGTACTGAATTCAACCCCAAAACACACACACACACACACAAAACATTTTTTGAAATATGAATGTACTAAATCAGAATTTATATTTCTCTGTTCAATGTGTGGATCCTGATAATATAACTGAATTACATAAATGTAATACATTGTAATAAATCTCTGGGAGAGATTTATGTATTTATTAATCTATCATTAAACATTTTTAGCGCCATGGGAACAGACTCTGTGTTTTCCAGCACATTATAGTCTCAAAGATTATTCCTGAGAATATTCATTTTGGTAGTTATTTTGATCTTTTATCCTGAAAGCCAAATTATATTTTAAGAGGTAGTCTGGATTTTATATAAAGCATACCAAAAATATCTAATCAGTTATGGTTAAGATAATATAAGAGACTTGTACTCATAGAAAATCAAAATTTGTAGAAACCAAATGTACTAGAGTAATTTACTCAAGAACTATAGCATTTTCCATCAGTGTATATTTTCAAGAAAGGAACTAGGTCTTAGAGCTAGACTGCTTGAGCTTATATACTTGTCTTGCCACTCACTGTCTGTAACCATCTATAAATTGCTTATTTTTTCTGAGTTTTAATGTCCAACCTCTATAAAGAAAACTGAAGGGTTCCACCTCTAGAAGTTGTTGTATGGTACAGAGTACATATCCAGTAAATATTAACTATATATATTTAAATGTGTATTATGTATTGTTTTGCATTAATGGCTCAACAGATTATGGCTGAAGGTAACTTGTTAACACATCTCTAACTCTGAACATGCATTTTTTTAAAGCAAGGTATATAATTTTACATATTGTAGCCTGAAGGTAAAGGTTGCATGGAAGCATAGAATAGTTCTTTTTCCAATAAACAAGTTCTGTGTTTTTTAATATACATGCTGTCAAAAAGTTAAAATTACAACCAACTTATATCTCTCTAATTAGCTTTTGTTTGTGATTTATGGATTGTAGATCAGATCTATCTGGCAGAGACAGGAAAAAAGAACCAGTAGGTTACTTTTCTTGCAATCTGAGTCAAAACAGATTCAAGGAGGCTGGAATCAAAACATGGTTTTAGGATCCTTTCCTAAGAGTTTCAGTTTGATTATTTATCCTAAATGATTTGATCTGATCTGTTGGGATCTAGTTCAGTTGGTAATTTTTAAATTAAAAAAATAAATACATAACCAGGTACCCATGGCTCATGCTGTAATCCTAGCTACTCAGGAAGCTGAGATCTGAGGATAGCAGTTCAAAGCCAGCCCTGGCAAGAAAGTCCATGAGACTTGTTTCTAATTAACCACCAGAAAATCAGAGGTGGCTCTGTGACTCAAAGGGGTAGAGTACTAGCCTTGAACAAAAAAGCACAGGGACAGCACCCAAGCCTTGTGTCCAAGCCCCAGGACTGACAAAAAAAATAAATACATGCTATAGCATTGAGAAAAGCACAGATTTGGAAGTTTATTTATTTATGCATTTTTTAAACTTATTCAACAGCAAAAATAAATAAATTCTCCGCTGGGCATTGGTATACTTTTTTGGTATATGTGCAATGGGCACCCAGCTATGAGAGGCTGGCACAGGAGAATTATGAGTTCAAAGCTTCCTTGGGCTACATATTGAGTTATAGGTCACTGTGCACTATGTAGCAAAGACCTTGTCTCAACATAAATAAACCAAAATTCACCAGTAACATCACTCAAAAAATAAAAATAGGGCTGGGAAGGTGGCTCAGTGGTAGAGTGCTTGCCTCGAATGCATGAGGCCCTGGGTTCGATTCCTTAGCACCACATAAGCAGAAAAGGCCAGAAGTGGCGCTGTGGCTCAAGTGGTAGAACACTCGCCTTGAGCTAAAGAGCTGAGGAACAACACCCAGGCCCAGAGTTCAAGCCTCACAACCAACAAAAAATAAATAAAAATAGAATCAGTAAGTAGCTCTTGTTTTTAAGATGCTTCCAGAGAGTGGAGGTGTGGCTCAAGTGGTAGAATGCCAACTAGCCTTGAGTGCAAAAGCCAAGTAAGAGCATATGACCCTGAGTTCAGGCTCCATTACCATCACGAGGAAGGAAAGAAGGAGCTTTCATACTTTTCAAAAAATTTTTTGCCTTCAAAGCCTAGAAACCTGGACTCTTCCTCCTAAGTTTGTCTCTGCATGTTTAAATCATTTCCTTTTTATCTTCAAAATTCTCAAAAGCCTTTCCCATACCCGTAAGAGGCCCAACTTTACCTTCAGTTAATACCTATACATCTATACAGCAATGGGCTGGAATGCAAAGATGTCTTCATAATACAAAATGGTGAATTAAGAGTTCTGAAGCACTGAATTAAATTGAGAGATTATTGTTTTGGCTTAATGAAATTTCCTATACCATCTGATAATTGCTAAGCTTTTCCATTTAGCTTTTAACTTGGTATGACAGTGGTTCATTTATTTTCCTTTTAAACTATGCTTTGTTAGAGGAAATTGTCTTCACATACTTAGAAAAAAGTGTTTTCTTTCCTCTTTCGCCTTTTGACAAACTTATCTGTGTAGCTATCCTCAGGATTTTGCTGTCACAGTGGGCCTTTCATTCATTTGGGGTGGGTCAGAAGGAGAAGGACATTTAATTAAAAATAATTGTGATGTGTTTCTTTATCTCAGAGTACTATTAATCCTGTAGATGCAATATACCAACCTAGTCCCTTGGAACCTGTGATCAGCACAATGCCTTCCCAGACTGTGTTACCTCCAGGTATAGTATTTGGAAAAATATTTTACAGATCTGTAGATAAGAAATTTTTAATTTCTGTGTTCATCATAGTATTTTAGCATCTTGTATATTTAAGAAATAATAATATGATCACAAAAAAATATATTTGAATAGCTGGGCACTGGTGGCTCATGCCTATAATCCTAGCTACTTAGTAGGCTGAAATCTAGGGATTGCAGTTGGAAAGCTAGAGCAGGGAAATCCGTGAGACTCCTATCTCCAATTAATCACCAGAAAACTGGAAGTGGAGCTATGGCTCCAAGTGATAAGAGCATTTACTCGGAGCAAAGATGGTCGGGGACTGCACACAGGCCCTGAGTTCAAGCCCCATGACCAAAGAAAAACAAAACACATACACACACACACATACACACACACACAATATTTGAATAGTTAGAACTTTTGAAGTATGATGGAAGAGAGACTTCGATTTGCTAGTAAAGGTAGGTTTGTATCACTCAGAATTCATAGCCATCAGAAAAACTTAGTATATTTTAATCTGGTTAAAGAGAATCCAAGAATACTCAGTTCTATATTTTTGTAATTCTGAACATTATAAATATTTTATTCACAGTGGATTTTAGTATGAGAAAAGGAAGAATGAAAAGAATGAGTAGTGATAAGATGTGTTTTTAAGTATAGAGCAGTATTTTTGAAAAATCAACAAAGAAGAGTCTAAAGCCTTTAGTCTTTTTGTGGCATCCAGAATTTTCTTGTTCTGTGTAATGATAGCAAGTTTAGAAATTGTACTATGAAAGGGACAGTCTTCTTTTTCTTAGTACTTAGCATATGAAGTCGTTTCATGAATATTTGATCCTTATTCTGAGTTTGATATGTCCCAGGCTTCTAAAGAGAAGGTACTTTGCCCTATTCAGATTTTATGTGGTTTGAGAAACAGAAACATCTCATTAGGAGCATTTGTTGGTTTTTCAGAGTGATCATACTAGGGTATGATCATACTAGGGTGCCATCATGGCTGATCTCACAATATCTTTTCCACCTGGGGTCTTAGTGCTATGTAGCATAGTATCAATAAGGTATTTGTTTTGTGTTGGTGATATTGAGGCTTGAACTCAGGAATTCATGCTTGGCTAGGCTCAGCTATACCACCAGCCCTTTTTTGTGCTGTTTCCTTTTTTGTCTTTGAGATAGGATCTTGCTTTCTGCCCAGGTACGTGGCTTGTGACCTATATGCTTTAGGCTTCCTATCATAGCTAGGGTAATAGGCATATGCCACCACACTCAGCTCTTGGTTAAGGAAAGGGGTCTCATGAACTTTTCTGCCCAGATTGGCCTTGAACTGTGAACCTCCCAAGTAAGATTACTGGTGTGAGCCACCATCATCTAGCTCATTCATTTTATTAATTTTTTGTTTTTTTAATTTTTTTTTTGTCGGTCATGGGCCTGAACTCAGGGCCTGGGCGCTGTCCCTCAGCTCTTAGCTCAAGGCTAGCACTCTGCCACTTGAGCCACCGCACCACTTCCGGCCTTTTCTGTTTATGTGGTACTGAGGAATCAAACCCATGGCCTTATGCGTGCGAGGCAAGCGCTCTAGCCACCTTCCCAGCCCCTAGCTCATTACATTTTAAGAAATTAGGAAGTCTTAAAGGAGTAACATAAACTTGACCTAGTGAAATATTGTTATAGAAATTTCTGATCCTTAAGATTATGCATCCTAAATAGTTGTAGTCAATGGAATGTGTGTTTGACTCTTTCTCTAACTTATTTCAAATCTAGAACCTGCTCAGTTGTGTAAATCAGAGCAGCGTCCATCTTCCCTACCCGTTGGACCTGTATTAGCAACCTTGGGACATCATCAGACTCCAACACCAAATAGTACAGGTACAGATTTGTATAACCATTAGTACTTATAATTCTCCACTAACATTTGAGATTTGTGTTTGATTACTAATGGGAAGAAGGTTTGAAGAAGTGTGATATGTATTTCTATTGGGAATAGCTTAATTTTTTATCATGTTTATAGTTCCATACATGACATTGGAACCTGAATGAACCAGCAGTTTTAGTAATTTAAGAAAAACTAGAATAGAATGTATGTTGCATGTGTATGTTAAGAATGACTTGGACGCCGGGCGCTGGTGGCTCACGCCTGTAATCCTAGCTACTCAGGAGGCTGAGATCTGAGGATCGAGGTTCAAAGCCAGCCTAGGCAGAAAAGTCTGTGAGACTCTTATCTCCAATAAAAACACCAGAAAACTGGAAGTGGCACTGTAGCTCAAGTAGTAGAGTGCTAGCCTTGACCTAAAGAGCTCAGGGACAGGGCCCAGGCCCAAAGTTCAAGCCCCACAACCGACCCAAAGAAAGAATTGCTACTCAAGAGGCTCAGATCTAAGGATTGCAGTTTGAAACCAATCTGGGTAAGAAAGTTCATGAGACTTCACTAAACTACCACACCCCCAGGAAGTGGAACTGTGGCTGAAGTGATAGAGCACTAGTCTTGAACACAAAAGCACAGAGACATCCCTGAGTCCATTCCCTGAGTTCAAGCTCTAGGACCAGCATAAAAAAAATAACCGCCCCCCGCAAAAAAAAACAACCCTCTCAATTTAGACTGCATATTTTCTTATTGTAAAGGAATGAAACATGGCAGTATACAGAACAAAAGCTGAGAAGTCCTCAGTTCATCCCAATCACTTTTGTCTGTGTCTGTCTGTCTGTCTGTATACATCTCTAGTATGTAATTTTATTGTTATAACCTAAATGAGGTTATGTGTTTTCTGTGAGTGGCTCTTGTCATGTAATAGTAAATGTTTCATTTGATCACATAATTAGGTCCACAAAATTCTTTTTACAGCTGCCTAAGCCAGTGGTACCTTTTTTTTAGTAATGGAATATTGTTTCTATTATTTCTCTTACAGCTATAGTTCAGTATATCCTGTTTAGCACCTTTGGCACATAGATGTTTTTACATTTTTGCCAATTAAATAGGCAAAAATAAACACTTAATTTTCACTTAGATTTTCTTAATTCATTTAGAATTATGGTCTTTATTCTCAGTGTTAGATGCTAGAACTATTGCTCATCTAGATGAGCATTTCATTTTATAAAGAACCAAAATAAAGAGAGTGTATACACTTAGGGCTTTTGACCCTCTTAATCAAGGTGGCCAGAACCAAAGGCATTATTGAACAGGTAGGTGCTCAGCCTCTCTATTCTTCCAGACTTCTTTCTGGGTAGTTACACCCTGTGTAGTCATAAAAATTTGCCATGTGGCTTTTACCCACTTTGCGTTTGAATCAGTAAAGATACTAATGCGGTACTATTTATTTATTTGGCCAGTACTAGGGTATGAATTCAGCACTTCGCACTCTGACATAGCTTTGTTGACTCCAGTTGGTGCTCTTACCATTAGAGCCATATGTCCACTTCCTGCATTCTGCTGGATTATGGGGGATAAGAGTCTCTTGCATTTGTCTTCCTAGGCTGATTTCAAACTAGAATCCTCAGATCTCAGCTTCATGAGTAGCTAAGATTACATGTGGTGCCTACAATTAATTTAATACTTAACAGCATGGATGGAAGATGCCTTCTGAATCTTGAAAGAAAAAAATAAGTCAATAAGAAATTTTTTATTAGTGCTCTTGGGAAAATGTCAGTAAGCAAATGGGTAATGAAGTTGAAGATTGGGGCTGGCATCTGTATTTCATAGGCTTATATCACATTTTACTCATTGTAAAAATAATACCTAAGAGTTTTGTTTTGTGCTATGTATATTGGAGAATGTTAGAATTATGAGACAGCCTAAAATAAATATGATATGGATGTATGTATATTATATAAATATATTTACAAATATATACTTATTTATTTACATTAAATATATACATTATATGTAACTAATTACCAACATAGAGCAAAAAAGGAACAAGAAATCATGTATCTGCTCTCAAAAAATTTCAGTTCTCTACATGTAATAATAAATATTTCATATGGTTACATAATTATATATATTTACATATTATTTATAATATATACTTATATAATATACATTTTATATTGTAAATATATGCTCATATATTATAAATATATGCTTACATATAACTATAAAAAAGAAACAAGAAATCATGTATTTGCTCTCATAAAGAAATTTCAGGTCTTTGGTTTGACCTTTTCAGACTGATTTTCTTTTTCTTTTTCTTTTTTTTTGGGGGGTGGGGGGTCCAGGCTTGAACTCTGGGCCTGGGCACTGTCCCTCAGCTCTTCAGCTCAAGGCTAGCGCTCTGCCACTTGAGCCACAGCGCCACTTCCAGCTTTTTTCTTTTTGCTTATGTGGTGCTGAGGAATCGAACCCAGGGCCTCATGCATGCAAGGCAAGCACTCT